GTGACTGCAACGCGTTTTCTGCCTCCCTGGACATGTTTTCTAAGACCTCTGTGGAGATGTGATTTTAAAAAATAAATAAATAAAAAACGGACCCACTGTTTCCACCCGTGTTGGCCCCTGGGGACTGAGTTGGGCACTTGGATTGGAGGGACAACCTTGTGCAGAGCACCATAAGGAATAGATGGGTCGAGGCCCAGCTAAGAATCCGAGATAGGCCCAAGAGGGTTGACCTTAAAAGTCATTCATGACACACTCATCCCCCTTCTGACCACACACTTGGACCGGGAACTGGGAAACCCAGGCCCCTAGAAGGGACTTTTTAGGATCATATAAAAAAGCCAGGGCTAGAATTTAGGTCTCCTGACTCTTCAATGGCTGCTCAGTGAGGTCCACAGGGTGAACCTGCCCTACTCGCTGATGATTTTAGCACACCTAATTGTGTGTCCCTAAGGTACCACCTGCCCCATGATATTTCAATGAGGGGAGAAAGGTGGTGATAGTAATTCCATTTCATAGACAAAGAGAGGGCTTTGTGCTAAGATAGCAGAGGAGAGACTAGGATAAAGCGCTCCTACTGGGATTAGACTTGAGATGGAACACACATTTTCAGTTTAATAGTTGTGACCTTGGGCAGATTGCTTCACCTTTTTGCATTTACTTTGCTATTTGTAAAATGGGCACCATTAACAATACCCAGAAGGGCAGGAAGATGGAGGGTGTGATCTAGTGAAGTGCTGGCTCATAGGAAGTTCTTTCTCATCCAGCCCAGGACTCAGCCTCCTCTTTTCCCAAGACATCCGAGTGTGCGGGGCGGCGGGTCGGGCCAGAGGCCGTCCCCTTTTCCCAAGGCCTGGGGCCTGCAACCTCCGACTGCCACGCAACTGCGAGCCCTTCAGTTGACAACGCCGGAGGGCGATCCCGTTGCTATGAGCGTTGCTGGGGAGGGGCCAAGAGGAGGGGCTCACTTCCGGGAGGCGTGCCACTAGTAACCCGGAAGCGGTAGGCAGTGCGGCGCTGTTTAAAGATGGCGGCGGAGGAACCTCAGCAGCAGAAGCAGGAGCCGCTGGGCCGCGACTCCGAAGGGACACGCGGAGGGGGGGACCCCCGGCCGGGCGGGCGGGGCGGGCCGAGGCCCGCGGCTTTTCTTCTTCGCGCCCGCCAGGGGCGGTGCCTGGGCCTCCCGGCCGACAGCTCAGCCCCCTCGGCGCCCGGCTCCCGGCACCTGAGCCTTCCAGACCCGGTCCTTGCAGTCAGGCCGAGGCCGAGGCCGAGATCCGGGCCTTGGCCTAGGTCTAGGCCAGGGCCCAGTTGCCTGCTTTCTCCAGAGCAGCCTCGCCCGATGGGCATCGAGTTACACCCGGCTCCGGAGCACAAAGGACTGGGCGGGCCGTTAGGGATGTCGGGGTGGCTGTGGGCTATGAGGGACCGCGGGTGGCAGGCCCTACGGGCCACGGCTGACTTTTCCGGTGGGAGCCCCCTCTTTTGGACTGCAACCCGTTTTCTGCCTGCCTGGACATGTTTTCTAAGACCTCTGTGGAGATGTGATTTTAAAAAATAAATAAATAAAAAACGGACCCACTGTTTCCACCCGTGTTGGCCCCTGGGGACTGAGTTGGGCACTTGGATTGGAGGGACAACCTTGTGCAGAGCACCATAAGGAATAGATGGGTCGAGGCCCAGCTAAGAATCCGAGATAGGCCCAAGAGGGTTGACCTTAAAAGTCATTCATGACACACTCATCCCCCTTCTGACCACACACTTGGACCGGGAACTGGGAAACCCAGGCCCCTAGAAGGGACTTTTTAGGATCATATAAAAAAGCCAGGGCTAGAATTTAGGTCTCCTGACTCTTCAATGGCTGCTCAGTGAGGTCCACAGGGTGAACCTGCCCTACTCGCTGATGATTTTAGCACACCTAATTGTGTGTCCCTAAGGTACCACCTGCCCCATGATATTTCAATGAGGGGAGAAAGGTGGTGATAGTAATTCCATTTCATAGACAAAGAGAGGGCTTTGTGCTAAGATAGCAGAGGAGAGACTAGGATAAAGCGCTCCTACTGGGATTAGACTTGAGATGGAACACACATTTTCAGTTTAATAGTTGTGACCTTGGGCAGATTGCTTCACCTTTTTGCATTTACTTTGCTATTTGTAAAATGGGCACCATTAACAATACCCAGAAGGGCAGGAAGATGGAGGGTGTGATCTAGTGAAGTGCTGGCTCATAGGAAGTTCTTTCTCATCCAGCCCAGGACTCAGCCTCCTCTTTTCCCAAGACATCCCGCTGGCTCCAGAGCATTCCCAGGCTTCTGGGAAATATTTTTAAAAAACAAGGAGAAAGGGGGTGTCAGAACTGGAAGAATGCACCTTGGCATAGGGCGGGCGCCACCACGCCCAAGAATGCACCTTGGAATGAACTCTTCTACCCTTTTCTTTTTTTAAACTGTAAGAGGGCATGTGTGCTTACTGAGAGAGATGTGGGGCGGGTGTGTGTGTGTGAGAAAGCACCCCTGTTGGGGGATGGTCACACTACAGTCCCTTCTCATCCATCTGCTGCCTTTTGGAATTCTGGGTGCATGCACATGTGCCCTACATGCTTCCCAAGCCACCAGGCCCAGGGTTTGAACTGTGTGGTTGGCCATATGGGATCCATCCACTTTAATTGCCATACCACAGGCTGGCCCTGTCCTCTTTATTTTCAGGACTGGAAATGCAAGTCCATAGGGGAAGGGACTTTGCAAAAATTACAAAGTTGGATTGGAACAGGGTGTCAGACTTATGCTTCCAGATTCCAAGCCTGCCCTCCTGGGTTGCTCTTGTCCCTGGCCTACCTGCCAGAAGTGGAGATGGCTGAGACCCACTGTAATCCTTGGCTTTTTTCTCTTTTTCTAGGTGTTAACTGTCTGGCCTATGATGAAGCCATCATGGCTCAGCAGGACCGAATTCAGCAAGAGGTGAGAGTCTGAAGAGGGTGAGGGAGGCAGTGGCTACTGATTCCCATGTGTGGTCATATAGGCCGGGCTGCAGGCCTTTTGTCTGTCTCTATTTTGGAAGCCCTTTTCTTTCCAGGGTAAGCAGGTACTGGGAGTCTTTCTGGAGTCACTGAGCCACTGGGTGACCAGACCAGCAGCCCCTTCTGTAGGTGTTCTGGCTGTTAGTCTTGGGTCACTCCATTCCCCTGCCAGAGCTTGATGGATTCCTGCCTCCTACAGATTGCTGTGCAGAACCCTCTGGTGTCAGAGCGGCTGGAGCTCTCGGTCCTATATAAGGAATATGCTGAGGATGACAATATCTACCAACAGAAGATCAAGGTGGGAGCCTGGCTGGAGGGGCAGGAAGAACCCTGGGGTTAGGGGCAGGAGGGTGCCCACTTCACACCTGCTCCTTTCTGGGTCTGGCTTCTGAGAGAGTAGGGTATTGGGGTACATTGCACTTGGCTGAAATGTGCATTCTCTGGATTCAAGAAGATCTTTAAGGACTGGCCCCATAGCCTAATGGTTAAGGGAGCCAGATCCCATATGGCCAGCCATGGTTCCATTCCTGGCAGTTTGAGACACTGGGCATGTGTGTGCGCCCCATATCCCAACAGAACGGAGAAACAGGAGAAAGAATTGTGGCATAACCATGGCCCATTGGAAGGTTCTTTGTTTGCCTCTGGCATGCACACTTTGCCAGTCAGGAAATTAAAAAAAAGACCTTCAGATCCAGTCTCTGCCAGTCAGCAGTGGTATCCTTGGCAAATGATTTCAGTACTGAGTCATGGATGTCCTCATCTGTAAAACAGGGATAATGACAGCATCTGCCCATAGGGCAGGGTAGGTTGTGAGGAGGAGGCAGGTGATGCTCCTGTGGGGCCAGATCCAGCTTGGATGGCCTATGAGCTAATGAAACCCCTTGCTCAGGGTTTGCCCTCCTCTTTCTATGAGGCCTGTGCAGAGATGAAGACTCTGGGTTTGGAACTCAACAGACCTGGGTTTGAGTCCTGGCTTCACCCTCTTCCAGCTGTGCGATCTTGGGCCATGCACTGAGCTTCTTGGCACCTCATTGGTTTTCTCTTCTCTGGGTACGGGTGTCTTCTGCCCCATGGGACAAGTATGAGGGTCAAGGAGATGGTGCTCTCCAGTGCTGAGCTCAGTGCTCGTGCCCAACTAGGGTGTGTAGTGGGATCTTACTCTCCCCATGTGATGACTGGGTTAACAGAATGGGATCCCCATTTCAGAGCCTACCTGTTACACTAGATCACCCCAGTGAAATCAACAGGATGGGCTTCACGTTCTTCTCATAGAGTAATTCAGCAAATGCTTGAATGTCTGGAGTGTGCAGTCTGTGTGAGAGTCTGCTTCAGTGCCCCCAATGCCCCTATTCTGTGTGCTGTGCCCAAGGCCACCTTTTCTGTCAGAGCAGATCCGTAACAGCAGAACCCAAGCAGGCCTTCATGCAGGCTTTGCTCCTGCATCTAAAGCCTCAACTGCAATCTCATTTCTCACCTCCATCCACCTCCCCACCCTTCCCTGAACTGTGTGATGAGTGGCTTAGCCTAGCATGCGTAGTCCTGACCTCCTCTGCCTACTGCTCACCAGCTTTCCCACCTCAGGCAACATTGGCTCTCGTGAGGATCAGCAGGGTAATGGATGTTGGCTCTTCTCAAAGTGCCTGGCACCGAGTGAGCTCAGGATGTAATGACAGCTGTTCCAGCAGCCACAGTGCTCTGTCTCTGTAGGCTAGTCAGTCAACGCTGCTTGCGAGCACACACAGAGGGCCAGGAGCTATTTTAGATGCTGGAGATGGGGTGATAACTAACACAAACTTCTACCCACCCGAAGTTCAGAGTGGAAAGAGACCAAAGAGGGCTAGAACAGGTGTTATGTCAGAAGGTGGCAAGTTCTATGCAGAGAAAAAGAGGACAAGAGACCAGAAGTGAGGGAGTAAGATGAAATTTGAGTAGTGAAAAGAGGCAAGAGAACAAGTCATAGGACGTCTGCAGACAGTACAGGCCGAGGACAGAGGGCACCCTGGTGCTTTGAGGCCAGCATCGAGGCCCATGTGTGACTAGAACAACATGAGGCACAGGAGCTGGTGTTACTGACAGGTGCGCGTGTGATGGGGTGTGGGGCAGTAAGACAAGTCTCTTGAGTGGAGTGGGGTGGGTCTGACAGGGCACTCTGGCCCTCTTGCTGCTGAGCTGAGTATAGACCGCAGGGGACAGGATGGAGGCAGGAGACTTTTGTAGGAAAACCTGCAGAAAGTGGGACCAGGTGGTAGAGCTGAGTAGGGAGAGGCTATTAGATTCTAGATACAGTGGACGGCGTGTCAGAAGGCCCTGCTGTCAGGTGCCAGTGAGGGAGGAGTCAACAATGACAGGCTTTTTGGTGTTAACAGCTAGAAGGCTGGAGTTGCAGTTCAGTGAGGCGGGGGAGACTACGTGAGGGTCAGGACTCAGCCATGCGGTGCCAGCTCAGAGGAAGGGTAGGGAGGAAGATGGATGTGAGGACTGAAATTGTACTTGAGGGCTGACACACAGGTGAGGATGAACACTTGGGGCATTTTAAATCCTCAGGACTGATGTCGTTGAGAGGGAGTGTAGCTGAAAGATAGAGGCTGTCCCGTGCACAGCCCTGTGCAGGTGCATGGTATGCAGTGGCAGGTGTTGGATGGGTGTCATGGTCGTCTTTTGGCAGGTGACACAGTATCTTGAGCAAGGGTGCTGGATGGTTTTGTGGCGACTCTGACCTCTGAGCCTAGAGAGATGAGTGGCGTGAGATGGGGGAAATCCATGAGGGGCGGATCTGCAGCCAGGTGGAGGGAGTGTCACAGTCAGTGACCTCTGTGCAGCTGAGGGACCTGCCAGAGCTTGACACGGAGGGGTGGGCTCAGGAGGGAGAACAAGCCTCCCACAGAAGTGGATTTGGTGAGCACGGAAAGCTCTTTGAGGAGGTTTGCTATCGAGGGCAGTTGGGTGCTGGCTAGGAAGGAGCGTCGAGGATTTCGCTTGACTTTTGAAAGCAAGCACTAGCGGTGTATTTCTGTGCTGGTGGGTCTAAACAGAAGGGGAGGAAAACTGATGATGCATGAGTGGGAGGCTTACTGGAACCAGGTCCTTGAGACCGAGCGAAGAGCAGCTTAGACAGCAGCCTGGACAGATCACCTGAGGGTCTAGAGAGGAAGGCGAGGGCACATGTGCTGATAGGAGCTGTGGAAGTTGTCAGTGAAAAGGGCACACACATGTGGTCTTCAGCTAAGAGAGGGAGGAGGACAGGGGCTAGAGGAGAGGGAGTCGAAGTGTGAATGGCTGTTGTTTGTGAGGTGCCCGGGCCCGGCAGCTCTGACAGCCCACCAGTGTGGGAAGGGGCAACAGACAGAGGAGATTTGTCTAATTTGGGGAGGGAGTGGGGGTAGATGGTGTCTGTGAGCAGGCAGGGAAGCATTGGGGGACACACTTTGTAGCCTGGGAGGGCTGCGGGCCTAGGCTTGGAGGTTGGGAACTGTTCTCAGTCTGGTGGGAGCTGGGCTCTGTGAGGCTGTGCAGTGGGGACCTCAGACACTTGCCTGAGGACTGGGGCTTGGCACCATGCCCCTGCCCTGGCTTGCTTGCTCTGAACTTTTTCGGAGTTGAAAGACTGGAAAAGCTGCACTGGTCAACAACAGTCATTTGTCCATTTTTATAAATAGCTCTGTGGACCCAGTAGCACAGCATGGACTACTTTGGTGATCCATGCAACCTATTTGTACATAAGTAACAGCCCCCTGAGGGGTCACTGGGCAGTGATCAAGTGACTCCTATCACCGCATCCAGCAGCCTCAGTTCAGGAGCCAAGGATGCCAGGGGGCTGCTTGCAGCGCAGTTGCCACCTGCTGTGGTGCGTCCATTGTCGGGGGGCATTTCCTGGGCCAGCCTGTTCTGGCCTGATGCTGACGGAGTGGGGCTGCCTCTCTGCAGGATCTCCACAAAAAGTACTCATACATCCGGAAGACCAGGCCTGATGGCAACTGCTTCTATCGAGCTTTTGGATTCTCTCACTTGGAGGCACTGCTGGATGATAGCAAGGAACTGCAGCGGTGAGGACGGTGGGCACCTGGGCACTGAAGGAGGTGGGTGAGGGCTCACCTGAGGGCTTGTGTGGCTCCTCCTTTTTCTTGATGACTAGGAGGTGCAGTTTCCCCTTAGGCCTGGTGAAACACTGAGTTCCTGCTTGGTGTTTCGTTCTGAGCTGGGGGCTGGCCTTGTTGACAGTGCAGACCAGGCCCTTGCCCTGGGCTGGCCTTTTCGGGCCCATGCTCTGCTGGCCAAGGAGCATGCTGGCCTCCCTTTTCCACCCTATCCCCAGGTTCAAGGCTGTGTCTGCCAAGAGTAAAGAGGACCTGGTGTCCCAGGGCTTCACCGAGTTCACAATAGAGGATTTCCATAACACGGTGAGCCCCACACCTGGGCCTGGGCCTGCCAAGGCTGGGGGGCTTGCCTGGTCCTGGTGGGGTGCCCTGTTCCCTCTTTATTCATCTTCCCTTTGTCACTTGTGGAGGCAGTTCATGGACCTGATTGAGCAGGTGGAGAAGCAGACCTCAGTAGCCGACCTGCTGGCCTCCTTCAACGACCAGAGCACCTCGGACTACCTGGTGGTCTACCTGCGGCTGCTCACCTCAGGCTACCTTCAGCGAGAGAGCAAGTTCTTCGAGCACTTCATCGAGGGGGGGCGGACTGTCAAGGAGTTCTGCCAGCAGGTGCTGCCCCTTCCTACTACTTGGAATGGGACCCTCCCACTTTTCTCCTGCTTGGGACAGTGATCATCTGGCCCTGGGTGGGGGTTGGCGACAGGGGTCGGTGGGCCCTGGGCTGGGGTTGGGTTGGGATCTGGCCTGACCCGCAGATGTGCCGTAGGAAGTGGAGCCCATGTGCAAGGAGAGCGACCACATCCACATCATCGCGCTGGCCCAGGCCCTCAGCGTCTCTATCCAGGTGGAGTACATGGACCGCGGCGAGGGCGGCACCACCAACCCGCACATCTTTCCCGAGGGCTCTGAGCCCAAGGTCTACCTTCTCTACCGGCCCGGACACTACGATATCCTCTACAAATAGGGCTGGCCCTGGCCTGCTGCCACCCTGCCTGCCCTCCCCTCTGCCAGGCGCTAGACATGTACAGAGGTTTTTTTTTTGTGGTTGTAAATGGTCATATTTCACTCCTCCCCGATTCCTGTTGCACAACCTTCCACGTTTTATTAAAGGGGATGCTGGTGGTGAGCCGCGTGTGTGCGTGTCCATGCCCTGCTGCTGCCCCCCTGGCTGCTGTGTGTCTGGCTGTCTTCCCCCCCAGGTGGGTTCCCTGCTTTCCACCTGCCCTCCAAGCTTCCTTACCAGGAGCAGTTTTGAGGGGCCAGGCCTGTTGGAAACCCCACCTGGTTACTCAGAGTTCTGCTTCTTTTCTTTTAAGGCCTACCTGCTCTCCTTAGTTAGCCCAGGGGCTTCCGTGGGAATCATGGAAAATCCTTGGGCCTTGTCCAGGGTTCCAGGGCTACCCACACCAAAGCTGCTCCCTCATAGCCCCTCCTCCACCTTACTGTCCTGGCCAGGACCCCAGCCCCTGGCTTTCTGCCCCCACCAGGGGTCTGTGTGGCTGGGGAGCCCTGGGTGGGGAAGGCCTTTGTGACAGTGGGGCCAGCTCAGGACTGGTGGAGCAGCTGGGCACCCTCAGTGTGCCCCCAGTGGTGCCAGCCTTCAACCCTGTGCTTGGCCCATGGTCCTCAGGTCTAGGCAGGGCTGGCCAGTCCCTGCTCTTACCCCACCCCCTTAGCCTCTGCCTGTGCCTGCTTTGCACCCCTTCTGCTTGAGCCATGGTGTGTGTGCATTGCCTGCCTTTTTGCCTTCACCTCTTTCTTCCCCGACCCCCACACATGAGGGGTCTCAGCCCCCAGGCTGTGAGCTCCTTGGGGGCAGGCCCTCAATAAATGTGAAGTGCTGCTGCTGCCTCGCTGTGGGCCTGTGCCTCCACCCGCCTGACTCACCAGAGCTATGGCCAGCTCCCTTAAGCCAAAGCGTCTGTCCAAGGACCCTGGTCCAGGCCCCAGGATGTCCCTCTCACCCCAGCCCCAAGCCAGTCAGAGCTCAGACAGTGAGAGCTGGGACGAGGTGGTCTTTATTAGGAGGCTTCTTGGTGGTGGGCTACTTGGAAAGAGTAGGGTCGCCAGGCTGCAGGCTTCAGTGAACTCTCAGAGCTGGGAGCGAGGCCCTGCAGGCCCAGGGGAGTCTGAGGGCAGAGTAGACATCAGGGCTGTGGATTTCCCTCCACCTCCCAACTGCCTCCCTGGCTTCCCTTGGCTCCCTGCTTGGGGGTGAGCAGGGCAAGCGGGAGTGTTAGTGGGCAGGAGTTAGTCTAGGGCAGCCACACCTTGGGCCAGGCCCTGCTTACCAGTCCTGGTCTGGGTGGGCTGCAGGGAGCCTCAGGCTGGAAGGCAGAGGAGAGTGAGAACCAGCCTGCTGAGGGTGGGCATGGAGGGGGCGGGAGAGGAAACTGGCTGTGGGGTGGGCACCACGGGAGTGGGGCAGGCACCTACCCACAGGGAAGTAGTGGGGGAGCCGTTTTCGGTAGATGTCCTCGTCCTTCTCGAGAAACACGCAGATGACCAGCCGATCCACCTGCACCACGGGTTGCTCAGCACGGCAGGGGTCCCCACAGCTGGGCTCCACCTCATCACTGCCCTGCCCCTGCAGGTTGTCACCTGCCTTGTCCTGGGGGTGCTAATGGCCCTGAAAGAGCTCACTCCATACCCTTCACAGAAGTGCTTCAGGGATGTTCTGCCACCCCCTTCTAGCTGCCACCAGGTAACCTGGGTGCAGAAGGAACAGACCCAGAGGAGTGGGCCTGCCTGACACCACCCTAACTCTAGCTCAGGCAGGGCTGGCTAGCCAGAGTGATGCATCCCTTCACCCCACCCACCCTCAACCAGGCCCAGGTCCCACCTTGTCCTTGTGCTGCTCCAGCCACTCGCGCAATGCTGCCAGCACTACCTCAGCCGCCGCCTCATTGGGGTAGCCTGGGAGGGGTGGGGGCTGGGGTGAATCTAGTGGTTCCCTTGTCTGGGGGGGGGCTCGCCCCGCCCACTGCCCTGCCTACCCTTCCCCCCCCTCCGCATCTGGGCCGCTCACTGCTGGCCCCACTCACCAAACACGCCGGTGGAGATACAAGGGAAAGCCTGGAGAGCAGGTAGAGAGGGGATTGGGGACATAGTCACTCTGCGCTCTGCTTCCGCCCACCTCCACCCCGTGGGCCAACGTGGCCACTCCCCTGCCTTTGGGAGCCCCTCACCGCTGAGCGTAGCCGATGCTCCAGCAGCAAGTTGAGGCTGTTCAGGTAGCAGCTGCGGAGCTCCGTGGCCTGGCTGGCACTGGGCTCTCCGTGGACAATGGGCCCCACCGTGTGGATGACATCTGGGGGGGCGACGGGGTCAGGTCAGCCAGGGTCTCTGCGCGGTCCTCTCCTCTCTCCCGGCCCTGCCAGCCTGAGCTGAAGCAGAGCAAGAAACGGCCTCACCCCTTCCCTAAGTTCTGAGACTTCCCCAGAAGGGCCCCACCCACGTACGTGTGTGCCCCGACCTTGCACACGTGCACACTGAACGGCATGCCTGCAGCTCTACAGAGGTAGACAGGCCGTACCGCGCTCCCTCGGCAACGGAATGGGCTCGCTGAGACCTGGGCACAAGTGGGTGCTCGAAGGCTTTGCCTCCATAGCTCTTAGCCTCCCTCAGGTCCCAGTCCCTTCCAAGCCTCCACCCTCCCTCCCTTACACAACCCCCACACAGCCCACCTCACTGGCTTCTTGGGGTGTGTGAAGAGGGGCCAAGTCCTGGCAAATAAGGTTGAGATGTGCTCCCTAGGGGGGTCCCCAATTCTGAGGGGGCTGCATGGGAGTGGGGGTGTCGGGGACTCACACTTGGCTGGCAGCCGATAGCCGCCCGTTATCTTGGCCTTGCCCGTCTCACAGCTCTGCAGGGTCCGGCACTCGTCGGTGAGCAGGGGTCCGGCGGCCCGGTGAATGCAGCCGTCCACTGTGGGGGAGAGGATTCCTTGGCCTCTCGCGTGCGCGAGGGTCAAGGGTGATAATTCCGCTTTGTAGAGGAGAGGGCTGCGGGACAGCGGCTGCACCCGCCCAAACCCGAGAAGCCTCCATCTGTGCTAGGAAACACCAGGCACTGCGCCTTCCGCACCGCTCCAATCACCTCTGCCCCTAGTCCTATCACATCTGGGGAAACAGGTCCAGACAGGGGTCGGAGTTGGCCCTGGCGGGAAGTGGCGCTGGGCGGCCGGCAGGGGGCGCGGCCGGTCCACCCGGTTCCTTCCCCGCAGCTCCGCAAGGGACCGGGTGGGGCTCTGGCCTCCGGTGGTGGAGGTGGCTGGGGAAACTGGTTCGCTGGGGAAACAGGTTCATCGTGGCAGCAACCGCAGCGAGTTGGAGCGACCAGCTGCCCAGGTCTCGGCCTCCGCCCAGGCCTCAGCGTCAGGTGCAATTTCAAGGCCCACTTCCCAAGGACCACCACGCCCACACGGCCTCTGCAAGTTCTAGAATCCATGTGCAGATGAGAAAATCGAGGATACCTAATCACAAGTGGCAGATCCAGCCCAGGGCCTGAGCTTGGCTTTTCTAGCCCCTTCCTTAAGCCAAGCAAAGGTGAACCTGGCCTTGGTGCCAGAGCGGGCAGGAGTCTCTGGCCAGACAAACCCCTGCTAGTTAACGAGTTGCCTCGTTAGTGCATTCACTTTAATTGGCCAGGCCTGGGCTTGTTTATCTGCGAGTGGCTCCAGGGCCTCTGGAGGGACCCTGGAGACCCAAGCCCAGATAAACAACTCTGGGCTGGGCGGGAGGCAGGAAGGAGGTGTTCCTGCTGCCCACCTCATCAGGCCAGAGGACTGAAGTTCAGCCTGCCCAGCCCTTCTGCACAGGGACTTGCAGTGAACCCTTTCTCCCAGAGCATCCACCTTCCCCAGAAGAAGAGCCAGGGGCTGGCCTTAAGAACATGACCGGGCAGGTCCAGCTGCACCGAAGGCCTATACCAGGAGCTACTAGGGTTCCTGGGATGCTCATATGCTAGACAGCAGGAAAGGACTGTCACTTCCCCATTTTACAGACAACAAAACAAGGCTCCTCCTTCATCACCTCCTTCCAGCATCTTGGCACAGGCCCAGGACACCAGCTGGACCACCCCCCTCTTTCTTCTGCTGTTTTCTCTTCTGCCCTGAGGGGCCCAATTAAACCTAATTGCAACTTCACTTGGTGCTGTCACCAGGCGATTTCCCCATTTCCACAAGTGCCAGAGGTGTGGGTGGAGATGTAGGTAGGGAGTTGGGGGAACCCTGGAAGTGGCTCAGGACTGAATCTTTCCTGCCCCCACCTCCTCTAAGCAAGAATAAAGGCAGCTACAGCCCATGGGGAGGGGCTGAGAATCAGACCCAGGGAAGCGCCCTGAGCCACCTGCGTGTCCAGGTCCTGCAGTGTGGGTGTCCAGCCTGGAGTGCACTGCGCAGGTGTGCGGTGTGTCTGCTCTGCGTGGGGTTGCTGCGAAGCACCCGGTGCAGTGTGCGACACCGGGAAAGCGCAACTGAGCAGCCTGAGCTCAAGTCCCCACTCTGCCAGTCACAGATAGGTGACCCAGATAGGTGACACCCCTTAATGTCCCTGGGACAATAGTAGTACCCACCTAGGGCTGTCAGAAGGGCTGGTTTTTTTTTTTTTTTTTTTGAGAGGTTTTTTCGCTATAGGGCGCGTGTGCTCGCCAGACAGAGAGAAACATAGAGACAGAAAGCGAGAAATCACCCCCCAGGGGGGATGGTCACGCCGCAATCCCTTCTCTTCCATTCTCCTCTCGGGATCTTGGACACACACGCACACGTGCCCGGCGTGCCCGGCGTGAGTTTTAAGCCACCAGGTCCGGGACGCGAACTGCTGTCAACTACGTGGGAGTCCAGCGACATAGCCATTATGCTAACTGCTGGTTCCCCAGAAGGGCTGTTTTTGTAACAGGTATAAGCCTTCGAGTGGCATGAGTGAAGGCACTGCGAATGTTTGGTGGTTTTTTTCTTCCAGTTTTTGCAATAAGGTGGGTGTGATCGCCAGAGAGAATGGCAGAGAGGGAATGTGAATCACCCCCCTAAGGGGGGCCATGCTGCAATCCCTTCTTCTCCATCCTCCTCTTGAGATTTTGGGCCCGCATGCCCATGCATGTAGCGTGATATTTTTTCTTTCCCTTTTTTAAAAATTTTTTAAAATTTTATTTATTATTATTATTTTAATTTGCTATAGGGCACATGCACTCTCCAGAGAGTGACAGAGAAAGTGAGAAAGCAAACTGTTAGGTCCAAGACTTGAACTGCAGTCAGCCATGTGGGAGTTCAGTGCCCTAACCACTATGCCACCTGCTGCCACCACCCACATGATTTCAACCCACCAGGTCTGGGACTTGAACTGCAGTCAGCCATGTAGGGTCCTGTGCCTTAACCACTACACCACCTACTGGCCCAGGTTGCTTTTTTAAAAATAAAACTTTATTTAATGTTCAGTTATTTATTTGACCAGAGAGGGACAGAGTGAGAGGGAAAGTGAGAAAGCAAGCTGCCTGGTCCAGGACCACAACTGTGGTCAGCCACATGGGAGTCCACTGCCCTTAACCACCATGCCACCTGCTGGCCCCCTGGATTGGTGTTTCTATGACAGTGTGACAGTGTGGGTATGTCTGGGTACTGGACACTGGAGTGTGGTGGGAGGTGGGTGTACAAAGGGTGATCGCAGTGTATGGGTGTGAGTCAGCTCTCCTGGGAGCTGTCTGCCATCTCTAGGTGCTAACAGGCTGTGGGTGACCTTGGCCCACTCCAGGGGCCGTGCGGAAGTAGCGCTCTGTGAGCTGCGTGTTGCGGGGACTTAATGTTTCCTGCAGAAGTGCACAGGCCTGCAGCCAGGCCTTCAGGGCTGACCTGGGGGCACGAAGGAAGTGGAGTTGGAATCCCTAGCAGAGGCCGCTGGCTGGCCCTACCAGGAGTTTCCACCACAGAGCCAGGGCCGTGTGACTGTTACAGGCGCCCAGGAGAGGGTCCCCCAAAGCTGAGCTGGGGGGACAGGCCCTGGGCCCCACGCTGTCCTGCAATCCTCCCCAACAAGCAGAAGTATAGACAGGCCCTGGCATTCAGTCTCGGCAGTCTAGGCCCCTCCTGCCTGCCAGCCACCCCTCCCTGTCCATACACCATCCATCTTGTTCTCTCCCAGCCCTGAGTGCAGAGACCCCCAACCCTGCTGTCCAAGGGGCGTCCCGCACACACGTGATCCCTGAAGGGCATCCCTCCACACACTACCTGTAGCTTCCCTGACTCTGTCCTGGCTCTTACTTTGGCTAAGCTGAGCCCTGGGGCAACAGAGGAAAGCCCTGGCCCTGACCCCTGGAGCTCCCCGGTGAGAGGTGGAGTGTCCCCAGTTCATGCCAGCTATCCACCCGCAGTCTCCTCCTCAGGCCCCTTAGCAACCAAAACAAGCCTCCGGCCTCGATCCCCACTCCTACCTGAGGTAGCGGAAAACGTGGAGTCTCTCCTAGGGAGGCTGAGCCCCCTGAGTGGTGGGGCCTTCCTCGGATGTCTCTCTCTCTCTCCTGCATCTTTCTCCATTTGTGGCCAGAAGACTGTCCCTAAGGCCACTCTGCCTCCTCCATGAGCCCTGCTAAGGTTCAAATGTTCTCCAAGCTTCATGTGTTGCAATTTGGTTGCACCATGAGGAGACTTAATCTGATTATGGTGTTGAAAGGTGGGGTCAGGGGCCTGCAGGTGGCATGGTGGTTGGGGCACTGGCCTCCCACATGGCTGACTATGGTTCGGGTCCCAGATCTGACAGCTTGCTTTCTCATTTTCCCTTTCTCTCTCTGTCCAAATAAAAAACACATTAATTAATTAATTAATTAATTAATTAAAAATTCTTAAAAAAAAAATAAAAAGAAAGGTGGAGCTCTCAGGAAGTGCCGAGGCACCAGGGTGAGGCCTCTATGGTTGAGTTCTGTTGGGTTTATAAGAAGGATTTTTTTCTTTTTAGGTTTTAGCATAGGGTATATGTGCTCACCAGAGAGAGAGAGAGAGGGAAAGTGAGAAATCACCCCCTTCAGGGAGGAGATGTCCACACTGCAATCCCTTCTCCATTCTCCTCTCGGGATTTTGAGTAAGTACACACATGTGCCTGCTGTGATTTTCAAGCTGCCAGGCCCAGGACTTGAACAGCAATTGACCTTGTGGGAGTCCAGCTTCTTTTTTTTGGAAAGGTTTTTTTCGCTATAGGGCGCATGCGCTCGCCAGACAGACAGAGAGACAGAGAGACAGAAAGCAAGAAATCACCCCCCAGGGAGGATGGCCACGCTGCAATCCCCTCTCCTCCATTCTCCTCTTGGGATCTTGGGCACACACGCACACGCGCGCAGCGTGAGTTTAAGCCACCGGGTCCGGGACTCGAACCGCGGTCGACTGCGTGGGAGTCCAGAAACATAGCCATTATGCTAACTGTTGTGGTCCCAAGGAAGTCCAGTATATAAGCAGTTTTTGCCTTAGGGCATGTACACTCGCCAGAGTGAGAGAGACAGAGACAATGAGAGGGAAAGTAAGAAATCACTCCCTGGGAGGATGGCCACACTGCAATCCCTACTCCTCCCTTCTCCTCTCGGGATCTTGGGCACACACACGCACTTGGTATGGTTTTCAAGTCACCAGGTCTGCGACTCAGAGTCATCCGGATAGGAGTCCAGTGGTGTAACTGCTACGCCATCTGCTGGCTACCATAGGAGGTTCTTTTTTATTTTTTTTTGGAGAGGTTTTCGCTATAGGGCGCGTGCACTCGCCAGACAGACAGAGACAGACAGAGAGACAGAAAGTGAGAAATCACCCCCCAGGGGGGATGGTCACTCCACAATCCCTTCTCCTCCATTCTCCTCTCGGGATCTTGGGCACGCACGCACATGCGCCCGGCGTGAGTTCTAAGCCACTGGGTCCGAGAGGCGAACCGCGGTCGACTACGTGGGAGTCCAGCGAC